GCTCCCCAACCCCCTGATTGACCCTGTTCTGTGTGTGACAGGGTATGGAGCCCCAACCCCCCTGATTGGCCCTGCTCTGTGCATGACAGGGGGTGTCGCCGCAACCTCCCCATTGACCCTGCCTTGAGTGTGAGAGGGGGCGGTGCCCCAACCCCCCAATCGGCCCTACCCTGAGCGTGACTGAGGGTGGCATCGCAACCTCCCGATCCGCCCTGCTCTGTGCATGACGGGGTGGCGCCCCAACTCCCAAATTGGCCCTGCTCTGAGCCCGACCAGGGGCTGCACCTAGGGATTGTGCCTGCCCTCTGCCACCCGGGAGCAGGCCTAAGCCAGCAGGTCGTTATCTCCTGAGGGGTCCCAGATTGCGAGAGGGCACAGGCCGGGCTAGGGGACCCCCCTCCCCCCCCTCGAGTGCACAAATTTTTGTGCACCGGGCCTCTAGTCCTATCTAATAAAGCAGGAATATGCTAATTGACCCTCACACCATCATGAAGATGGCGGCACCCACTGCCAATAAGGAGGGAATATGCTAATTGACTGCCATACCCTCAAAGATGGTGGTGCCCACAGCCACAAGATGCTGGCGCCCAGTCCCCTCAGCCCCCCAGATGCCCAGGCTGGCCCGTGATGTAGGCAGGCCTCAGATGGCGGCTGCGCAGCCACTTAGGGCCACTCGAGGCTCAGATAACCAGGGCCAGCTGAGGCTTGAGCTGCCTGCAGTGGCAGAGAAAGGGGTGTGATGGGGCGTCGCCTTCCCCTGATCGCCGGGTCCCCTCTTGCCCCTGAGGGCTCCCAGACTGTGAGAGAGGGCAGGCTGGACTGAGGGACCCCCCCTCCAGTGTGCCAGGTTTCTTATTCCGGCATCTAGAAGGGTTCAGCAATCTGGAGAAGGCTGTGTGTAGATTAAAAAGGAGTCCAGAGACGAAATATAATTTTGAAAGGCATTTGGGGGTCAGAGGAGCCTAGTTTAAAGGAAACTAAGACCTAAGTTCTAAGTTCTAAGGTCTCCTCATCTCAGGACCCCATGCTTTTTATTAACACAACTTGTTCTGAGGCCAGGCAGAGATATATACTTCAAAGGGTCAGGGTTTCCTACAGAGTCCATTGTAAGAATGGGGGAATTAGCCTACGGCTGTTCAGGTGTTTGGCCAGTAGGAGGCAATAACATGTAGATTAAGATGCCCTTTAGCTGTCTGGCAGCCAAGCAACCATCCCTTTTCAGGTTTGGGGAAATGCCATCAGCCATTCCCAACAGGTGACTACATGTGTGACTCAGCCCTTGTTGAGTCCCCAAGTTCCATCAACCTTTTGATGAAACTCTTGAAATGATGACATGCTAGAATTGGCTTCTGGCACCAGTGCATGACGGGGCGGAGCACACACATCCTCTAGTTTCTATAATAATAAAAATAGGAAATACCAAGAAACTGTATTAGTAAAGTGATTGAAGGAATGGTCTCTGTGGCCAAATAGTCTGGCATCAAATCCTGCCAGGTCTGCCAGCTGGGCAACCTTGCACCTCCTTTACCTTATTTTCCTTGGTTCTATGTTTGGAATCATGATAATACCTCCCTCAGGGGGTTTTAGGAAAAGCTGTTTAACCTTTTAGTATCTTAGTTTCCTCATCTTTAAAATAGTGATAAAACCTCTAAGAATGTTTGGTTGCTGTTAAGAATAAATTTTTATATATGCACTAGAGGCCTGGTGCAAAGATTCGTGCACTTGGGGTGGGGTTGGGTGGGGAGGGGCTTAGACCAGCCTGCGCACTTCGCAGTCCGGGACCACTCAGGGGAAGTCCACCTGCAGGATGGATCGGGCCTAAGGCACCAGTCAGACATCCCTCTCACAGTCCAAGGCTCTCACAGTCCAGGATCCGTAGCCCCTTACCTCCTGCCTGCAGTGGAAGCAGGAGAGACTTCTGCTACCGCTGCTGCGATCACCAGCTGTGAGCCAGGCTTCTTCCTGAGTGGCGCTCCCTCTGAGAGAGCGAACGGACCCCCAGGGGGCTGCTCCTGCATTGAGCATCTGCCCCCTGGGGGTCAGTGCGCATCATAGCGACTGGTTGTTATGCAGTTCAGTTGATTTGTATATTAGGGTTTTATTATATAGGACTAGAGGCCCAGTGCACAAAAATTTGTGCACTCGGGGGGGTGGGGAGGGGGG